AGAAGCCGCCAAGGGCGCGGAAAAGCGGGTGCAGCCTCCTGTGAGAGGGTGGTTGTAAAACTTGCCCCCTTTGCCTTAAAAGGGGAGGGAGAGAAGAGGAAAAACGTTCCCGTGTGTGTGAGCTTTTTCAGGGCTTGATACAAGTTATTTTATTTTAATAAGGTGTAAATATGCTGCAGGCAGGCGGGTTGAGGGAAGGCAGAAGTGCAGGTGCTGAAGTCCAGGCCCAGGCCCAGGCCCCTCCCGTTTGCAGTCCTGCCCGTGCTCAGACTTGGGTTCGACCTTAACGCTCAGGAGAGCCATTGTGTGTGTGCAGTCATCTGCAAATGCGCTTGGTACGTGCAGCGGCTCGGTCTGCCTGGCACGGCGTTTGGTCATTTACCCAGTTAAATAAGTGCTCAGCAGAATTCCAAATCGTATGAGCAAAGTAGGTTCAAAAAGCTCTATTTAAAGAAAAGAGGGGGAAAAGGAGTTAAGACATGTTTTTGCATAGCTATTTGGAACTCTCAGACTTAAAGTTTTCAGTACTGTTTTGTGAGGTGGTTTTTTTTTTTTTTTTTTTTCTGGAGGAGGTTGTCTTTGGTTTTGTTTTGGTTTTTTATCAGCTATGGAATGGAATGTCTTCGAAGTAGTGTAATGTGTTTTATAGAAGTATCACATGTTAATAAAGCCACTAACTGAAGAATTCTTAAGGTGAAGTAGAGGGGCTGCAAAAAACCCTCCCTGTATGACAAACTGAAGTTACAAAACATTAAGAACTTGGCTACTCCGTAGTGATTACCCTAGTCATATAGCAGGTTATTTCTGCCTTGCTGCCTACTACTGTGTAACTCAACAGCGGGTTGTGCAACCTGTCTATAAAGACTCTGGTTCTTAGACAGATGGTTACTGTCTTGAACTTTAAACCTTTTCCTTTCATTGCTGCTATAATTCATAGATTGTTCTAGTTCCACCCCTGATAAGGTAAGACTTGTTGTCAGTGTTAGTGCAAATAAGTAGGCTGCATGTCTGAGTGAAACTTTATCTGAGTTAGAGGATACTGGAACAGGTCTTTGCTTTAAATTATTTTGTATTGTCCTGCTTCTAATGGCCTCTGTGGCATTTTTAATGTCTTGGATGCTTACTTTTTCTGTGTCAAAGTAGTGAAAATGCTCAGCAAGAGGATCTGAGTTTCCTCAATGATTTGCCAATTTAATATTATTATTTTTCTTAGTAATTTTAATCAGTTCTCCCTATCAACCAAGCAGCAATGCAAAATATATAATATATGCAAATGTACTCTCCAGTTCTTCCATTTCCTTCAGTAATTTTTCAAAGGCTGTGTAGCTTAATTACAACTTCATATTATTCTTTGAAAGCTAACAGAGTGGGCCAGTGCTATAGTAGTGCACTACTGAAATCTGAACTTTTTACACACCAAAAAGTGCTTCCTCCTCCCCCAACTTCTACTGAATAAACTTACTTGTGGGCAGATTTCATTTTTCTTGGAAGCTACCTTTGGAGGGCATCTGCTCTAACCCCCTCTGCTCAAGCAGGGCCACCTACAGCAGGTTGTCCAGGACTCTGTCCAGATGGGGTTTTTTTTTAATATTCTTGGTTTAAAAGCTCTCAAATAATCTATCTCATATATCTGCAGTTCTTTTCTCAAGAAATAGAGAAGTGCTAAAATAATTCTCTGATCCACGTTATACCATGTCACCACTGATTTCTTTTTTTATCTTTTTTCCTTAACATAGAGGATCATGATCTTTTAGGATTTATGTAATTAGAGACAGCTCTTAGAAGCTGTTGATGAGCCTAAGTAAAGTGTAAGTCTAAGGTAAGGCTCTGTCCCAAGGAGTTTAATGAATTAGGAAAATGGTAAGAGATGCAGGTGGCTACAATGAGGTGATAATTGGTGGAATAGAAAGCAACAGAAGAATGACCTAATTAGAGAGATGTCCCAGAAAGATGAACCCAGCTGTAGCATTTTGAAATTATAAGAAGTCATTTGGGTGTTTGTTTTTGTCAGAGGATAAGGAAGTTGCTGGTGCAGGAACGGAACAGGAAGACTGAATGTTGTGTGAGAAGAAATGGCAGAATTTAGATACTAAGTTCCAGTTCCTGCCAGGGAGTGGGGATGTGTCCATCAGCTGGCATATCAGAAGAAAGATGTAACGTTGTTACTGGTTGCTTTCCCAGTCAGGAGAAGAGATTGTGATGGTTTTGCTCTTTGCTGTGTAGGGTTTGGGGTCAATGTGCTTAAACATTTAATGTTCTTCATGAGACACCGATCATATGGTACCTTTGCTAGCACTAGGGGTTGAGTTCTGTATAGCAGAACCAAAGCTGATTTGTATGTTGTATTTTTCCTGATGGGGAAGGGAAAAATGGATGTTGGACTTAGTTTTACATGTATCACCTTGCATTGAATCTGCTATAGTACTGGTGAACCAGTCAGTTTTGATTGCAACCATTTTATTTCCTTTTAAGGCACACTTTTTCTTCTGTGTCTTGAAATTCATTGTGAATAAATTGGTTTACTCACTAGTATTACTGTCAAACAATCTTGTCCTGCATGTGGCTTTTTGGCCTTTAGGTGTTTTGAGAGTGTCTTTTTCCAGAGGAGACAGGTAATAGAAAACCACCTGTATGTGGAGTCTTGCTGGATTTAGACAGTCAAAAGGGACAAAGGGAATATGAAGCATGTGCTTAGTTTAGAATGTAAAATCATTGAAAACCTAGAAAGAAAGGGCCCTTCTTTAAGTATGCAAATTGGTCCTCAGACTTCACGTCACAGTAATATTAGCCTTTAGGTCAGATGTAAATTGTTTTCCTAAACATTAAGCTTGTCCGAACATAAAACTAATGTGATGCGACCTCTTGCTGCAAGCAGCATCAGTGAGGGTCTCACTGTCACTGAATGTAAATTGAACTCCTCATAGGAGATTTCTTGAAGGTTGAGGGTTCTTTTTTCTTTATTTTACTGTAATTATCCAAGAGCAGGCATAGTAATATGATACTGGTTTAAGGAAGCGTACTATTAGTGAGGGAGGAAAGAATAACTAGCAAGTTCTATCAGTTAAGAGCTGGAGCAGAGAGGAACAGAAGTGTATCAGTTTGCATAATGTTACAAGCGAGATCCTGAAATCAGTGGTTTGGACGACAGAAAGTAGATTATAATCATCTCAGTGTGGTGGTTTTATCTGTGATAGCATGTGCTATGTTAATGAATGGCCAAAAAGGTTTCTGAAAACATTTATTCAGCAGTACAGTGATTATCAGGTAAGGCAAATATGATACTATTGCAATAATATTACTGTCAAGAGGAAATCTAGCATACAGACTATATCAGTGTTTACTACCTTGTCCAATTGTTGTAATATTAATTTTAGAAAGTCTTGTTATAAGTTTCATATTGTGAGGTAATACTCTATTGCAAAAATGTGTTTATCTTTAAAAACAAACAAACAACCAGAAAGACTTTCCCTATTTAAATCTTTGTTCTATGGCTTAAGAATTTGTGAGTCTTGCATGTTCCGCATTTGTGGCTATTTAGTCAGAGATTTACAGTAATGTCCTTGGGTTTTCAGGTTAATCTACTAATTGACAATGAAGCGGAGAAGGATTACCTTTATGATGTGCTGCGGATGTACCACCAGTAAGATCTAGCTTTATATAAGTTCTGTAGAATTTTACTAATGTGTTTAAATTTCAAGAGTGAATATTAAAGATTAAGTGGTTTTTCTGTATGCTACTGGAAAAGTAGTTGAAGTAATATTTTTTTTTTTCTTCTGTTTAATGAAGTCTTACACTTTTACAGCATAGCCTGCAGACAAGGAAGGAGTGTGTCTGTAATCACCCATAAAGTTACTTTGGTTTTATGACTTCACAGTTTTGTAAAAGAACTTGGTAGATTTGTATGGAGGGGGCACTTGGATGATGAAACTCTTCTTGGGAAACAGGAAGAGAGCATTAATCAAATTGATTAATATTTCCAAATAATGCTTATTTATTTGCAACAGAGGTTGCAACAGGTTTTCGTTGAGTTTGCTTTTCAAAGACTTTTGCTAACTATTCAGATAAAAATTTGCAATAGTCTTACCTGAAAGTTAAAAAAAAAAAAAAAAATGGTAAGATGATAGGCCTCTTACCAATCCTTTTGCTGAACTGATTTAAACCACAGTTACTTAGGGCCTGTATCATTGTAAATGAGATCAGCATCTGATCCATTGTTTTTTGAAGAAGATGAGAATGTATTTTCCACTCATCATAGACAAGTGGCTCCGACAGACATTGTTTCCAGTCATATCTTAATTAATAGCATCTCAACTGAGTGAAATTTAGACGTTTCCACCTGACGTTTGCACTCAGCTATAGTTATGGATGTATTCAGCTACATATCTGATTCAGTTTCACTCAGGTCTGTCTAATTGCTTCTCCATTCATAAAGCCTGTTGTTTGGAAAGCCAGTTGATTCAGTAGCCCTTAATTATTTAAAATCTTCTTGCAGTTACAAAGTTAACAATGCATATAATAACTTTTCTTCAATTTCTAAAATTGCAGTAACTTGAGCAGAATTTCCAGTATCTCTGAGAACATATGTGGATGATATATCACTTTTTTTAATACCTTATGAAGCATTCCAGCTCAAAAATATGTGCAGTTGCTGTTGGAGTTAATATTTAATGTCTGCTTTACTGTGAATAGCATTTCCAAAAGTATTTGAGCTCAAATCCCGTATAGTATGCATTTTTGATCTGTATTTTCAGTGCATATGCCTCAGAAATACTGTATGCCAGGAAAGGTAAAGTATAATAGAGGGAACAGCAAGTAATATAGACTAAGTTTAACTGGATGTTGGGTAGGAATAGCTGCACTGAATCTTAGGGAGCTGTTACTCCACCCTTGCAGCTGGGCAACTAAGTTTGTTTTCTAAACCTGTGACTATCTCAGTGCTGACAGTATCAAGGAGACTACTTTGCATAGCTCTCATAACACAGATGTTCACAGTGGTTTAACATCTAGGGATTTCATTTATTATTTCATTTCAATTTTGATTTGAAAAAAAATTAAACTTAAACCAATTCTTTGTTCTACCTACTGAATATTGTGTGTTTTTTTTTCTTTTCCTAGATCAAAGCAATTTGTCAGTCAGTTCAAGAGGGGAAGGAGCTTGTAGCCTAGATTCACTTAGAAGGATGCTAACTAGTAAGGAAACAAAAATCTAGTAGATGGGTATATTTGTTCTGGAAAGTTATTTCTAAATAGTTCTGTAAATCTTTTGAGAACTCTGAGAATGAAATTAAAGATGTCAGCTATAAAAGTGATGTGTGTGACCTTAAAAGATAAAAGCAGTATATAGGAGACCAGTTATTTTGAAGGAGGTAGTTGTTATTCCTCTTTTCTTGCAGAAGACTTTGTTTCTCGGAGGCTATTTTGCTTTGGTTAAACTAATATTCTACATAAATAACTTTTGTAGTAGGCTTAAGGGACTTGCAAATTTTGAAGCCTCATATACAGTGAATTATTAAATGATACTCTGTGTTGCTGTGTTGATTACCTGTGCCTGTTTTCTCACTGTGTTTTTGTAGATCTATGAATCTCCCAGTGCTTGTGGGGGACCTAAAACTTGTGATTAATGAACCAAGCAGATTGCCTCTATTTGATGCTATCCGCCCGCTTATCCCATTGAAACACCAGGTGGAATATGATCAGCTTACACCCAAAAGATCACGGTAAGAGAATGCAGAACAATGCAGCATTAAATACAAGCAGGAAATAATGAGTTTCAGATAAATTCTGAATAAAATACCATTTGCTTGGATAGAGGTGGGCATAATTTTTTTACTTTTGCTATATTTACTAGAAGTACAGGTTTGAGCCACCTGAAATTGTTTGACAACTAGTTTAATCTAGTAAAAGCAGGGCAAGGGAGTCAAAAACAATGCTTTCCAATTGAAACGATCTTTTCTCATTTTACCTGCATTTAATAATAAAAAAATTCTTATCACTCTAACCCTTTAGAAGCAGACAGCACATGTCTTTTCTTATGAAAAATACTTGATGAATTTAGCTAACACACATCCATCCAAACATCAGTCAGCTTGCATTTTTTAATGCCTAAATGTTATAAGAGAAAAATAGTATGGAACTTTCATATGGAAGATTATTGCCACAAAGTGTTATGCAGCTGAACAGTCAAGTATCTTCCATTTTTGCAGAAAGCTGAAAGAGGTGAGATTGGATCGTTTGCATCCTGAAGGACTCGGAATAAGTGTGAGAGGTGGAGTGGAATTTAGCTGTGGCCTCTTCATCTCCCAGTTAGTTAAAGGAGGACAGGCAGACAACGTTGGACTTCAGGTAAGAAGGTTATGTTCATGGCTGCTGTGCTGCAAAAAGCCTTTTGTCGAGAAGCTGGCAGTATGAATTTTTGTTTAATATTTAAAGTAGTTATTGCTAAGGTGTTCTATCTCTTGTAATAAAATTCATAAAATATGTAAGTCAATGCTATAGTAAATACCATTACACCAATGGTGAATAAAGTTATTAAAATGGTTCACCAATTTTAATGATACGTAAACCTTTTTTTTGTATTTGGGATGTGATAATTTTTGAGGATAAAAGGGCTTTCTGGAATATTTACACTTCATGAATAGTGACAGTTAAATGTAAGCAGATTGAAAGAGAGATTTCCAAGTAGACTGTGGAAAAGTGTTTTAAGTTTCCAAATTCTGATTAAATGTAGAACAGAGCATATAAATACTAAAAATGTTAATTCTATCTTGTGCAGAAATAATTTGTGTAATGAAGTATTTACTTGAACTACATGTATAAATTGTGGGAGTTTTGGTTTATGCAATGGAAGCGTGTAAAAAATAATGTCTTTTTAACCATTTCCAGTATCCTTCGTAGTGCATAGAATTTCACTTTCAGTAATTAAATTTTAGACAGATGAACTGTAACAAGATTGGCAAAGGTAATCATGTATAGAAACACATCTTTTCTGTATCAGCAATTTGCATTAATGAAGTTTGGGTGTTTTTGACTGTCAGTTCTTGTTTGTATGTATCTTAGTGAACAGAGAAGTGACCAATTGCTAAGGCAAATGTTTGCATCTTTCTGTGCTTTCAAAGCTGATAAGGTGTATCAAAGCTCTGTGTTTCTGAGTAGAAAGGCTGATATGCCTGGCTAACTTCAGTTTGTCAAGTGTGAATAGTTGCAAGTATTGATGTTTAAGAATTATATTTAATACTAGTCCAAAATGTTATCAGACTGGCATATTTCATTACAGTGTTTAATTAAACTAATGTGTTTTGCAGATATGTGTCAGTGGGGGTCTGTTAACAAAAGCTCTGTCAACAAGGCAGTCAAAGTTAGGGCACCATGTTTGTATAATTCATGCTGAGGCTGAGAGCTTTCTAAAAATTAAGTAAGTGTTGCTCTCTGTTTGCAGACATGCACATGCCCTTTTGTTGGTGCATTCACACCTATATATCCCATTCACTAGTTCAGAATCACCATTGAATTAGTCCCGTCTTCTGACAGGCTGGACAGGCACATGACCAACTCCTTGGATGCTTTTAGAAGCTACTTCTTAGAACAAAACCACAAATTTGGGACACACGCCCCCGCAAATTCTGTATTTAGCTAGAATTGAGAGGGTGGCGTAGGACACCACAAACACTGCTAGATGTGTCAGGAGCCTACTTTTAGGCATGGGATTTGCCAATGGGAAACTCCAGAAAAGGCCATTGATGCACCTTCCCAGAGTTTGCACTACACAGACTTGTGTACCTCGTGCATTACATTACACAGTGAGAATGGGAAGTGTAGACAGGGGAGTTGTTCCTGGATTGTGATCAGCTCAGTAGAGAGGTTCCAGTTGCATCCTTCCTCCACTGCTAGAAAACTGAGAAAAAGACAAAACCCAGTCACTTGCATGGCTTTTGAAGACATCTCCTGGAAAATACTGGAAGGCGTTAATGATGCTGAGCAATAAAGGACTTAATAGCCACTGTCTTAAACTGTCATGCTAGTACATTCGTCTTAGTGCTGTGTTGCAGCTCTGCTTGTTTCAGTCTAGTGTTTTGACACGATCAATAGATAAGGAGTTATGCTCGCTGCTTGTGCTACTGGAAGGATGTCAGGTTTTGTTTTTTCTCAGTACACAAAAAGGCCCCACTGGCTTTGTATGACAAGGCTATTGTGCTATGTACATGTTGGTGACAGTAAAAGGGATTGCAGAGGATCTTTGCCTTGTACTGCAACTCAGAATGTGGTTAAGGTTTGACAGACAAAGTAGGGACAAAAAGGAGGAAACTTCCTTGAGGCAAACTATGAATTTGTTAGAGTTGGATTATTAATATGAGCAGATGATGCTTCACAGCTCACATAACTGTCTGACTTCCATTTTTTGATATGTGGCTTTAAAGCTCAGCCTAAAGTGCCTTCATAATAGGTGGCACTAGACACTTTGTGAACCCCACTGAATAACAAGAGCTGACAGGCAGCCCGTTGTTCTAAATTGTTGCTTCTGAAATTTCACCCACCTGCTTTATTTAACTAAATCTCTACACATTTTCTATCCCAAAAATGCTGTCTGAGAAAGGCATAATAGTCTTCTATTATACCATCAGTTTTACGTCTTGCTGGTTTTTAAAAAAAATCAAATTTTTGCATGTTTTCTCCTTTAAGTAGTTTCCAAGTTAAATTGAAATGGCTGAATAATTGTGTAGGCTCACTGAGGCATTTGTAGTTTTGACCCTTTTTAACTAAAGGCAAATGTTTTGTTCTTTCATTAAGAAATGTACTTCATCTTTTTTCTTTTTTTTTCACCTGCTTTCTGATACTTATGTCTGTGGGGATTCTGCTGAATACAAAGAGACAGAGACTGGTATGAATGATGAAAGTGCAAGAAGTATACAAAAGGAGAAATTGGAAACAGTGATGTTATTATGTAAAAACTTCAATTTCCTAGAAGCACTAAATATTATATTTCTTATAATAGGCATTTTACTCGGGAAAAGTTAGGTTTGCAGTTTTTCTTTTGAAGGTCCATCATCTCCCTGTTAAGAGGAAACAGTGATATATAATAACAGAATTATTGTTAGTGTTCTACTCTGCTCAATCCTGCAGACTTTTATCTCTACTGCTTCTGATTCAGAAGGTTGGTATACAGTGATAATAGCACAAAAGTAATGAAATATATGAAAACAACTATTAATTACTTCAGTGCATGGACATTTTTCACAGGAAAAGCTGTTCAAGTGTCCTAAAGAGAAGCAGTTTGTTACGTGCCTGTCTCCTGTAGTTCAGCCAACACTGGAGTATTTCTAAAGCACCATCAGTCAATCATACATTGTCAGTCAGTAACAGAAATATCATTTGGATGAGTGAAGAGTACTAGGCTGTCTTTTTTTTCTGTTTCTGAAGGTCAGCAAAGAGGTGTGTTAAAAATATCTACATGGGAGAAGCTCATTCCTATATGGGAGGGAAAAATAAAATATGCTCTTGCTGCCTTTATAATTTTGTGTGTGCCTTTTAGGGAGATGATATAATACTAACAGGTATGACTCAGTGAATGATGACATCCTCAGAGCAACACTAGTTCTGCTGATACAGAAGCTATGTGGAGGCTTGCAAATGGCACTGACATTTGCTGTCCTGAAACTGGGATGTTTCTGTGTTATGGCATTGCAATTAATAACAGTAGATTAGATTACCCTTTTAAAAAGCTGTTTATGCAAACCCAGGCTCCATGGTCTGTTTATAGCCTGCGTGATGCAGAAGATGTGAGGAAAGGAAGGATCTGGAACTAAATTAAAATCAAACAAAAAACCCCACCAACAATACGTAAGATCAACAGAAAAGTCCAGGTAGATCAAGTAATATCAACATTGCATACTTGAGGTTAAATAGTTATACACAAACTTCTGGGTTTTTTGGAATTGACTAATCCAGAGAGATGCCAGAGATGGGAATGGAGGAAGCTTTTTGAGCATTTTACTATTGAGGAACTCAACCTTCTCTTGAAAAGCAGAGGTCATTCGATTTCCCACCATTTCCTAGATTAACCAGCAAAATCCTAAATAAGCTGAGAGTCTTTATGGTTTGCAGAGGATATTGGGTCTTTATGCACGGTGACAGAAGTCTGACATATGTCTCAGCCATTTTGGTTCTTGGCAGTACAGTCACATTTCCAGTGCTAAACCCCGTCCTAAAAATGCGTTATTTACAATGGATTTCCTGAAGCATCGAGGGCAGTGGAACAGCTCTAGACTAAATTCTTGGCTGTATGTTCAGAAGCCTTCAGCACTGACCTATTTCTGCTCTTACAAAAGATCATACTAAAAATCTGGCTGACTTAAATGAAAACAGTCAAGCTTTTAGGGGTGCTGCAGGTGGCAGACTGGCCATTGCCCAGGGTGAGGTTTTGGGGTGTCCAGCAGGTGGAGCAGCAGCCCCACTGGTTAGGGGCTGGGGACCACACTCCTGTTCTGCCTCTGCAAGTGTGTTCTCTCCTGCAGGACAGTCACATACTGCATTTTCTTTGCTTTTGTAGTAATCTGATGCTGTGTTGAAATGAGGGTAAATTCCATTAAAATAATGCATTGTTCTGAATCCAGAATCAAACGAGGTAATACTATTGATCAAAATAGTTAAGAAGGTGTCTCAGAGGACATACGGTAAAAGCAAACTGCTGAAGTATAAAGAAAGAAAATCACTCCAAAATTACTCCAATTGAAACTTGGACACTTATGTTTAAGGTAACTTGTGCATTATAAATCTGGTGTGTAGAGACTACTTTTTATGCTTTCCACTAGATATTATTTATAAAATTGTTATTTGGCCATTAATCTGCCCTTTCAGTGTTCAATGTTAAGTTCAGACAAATACACATCTATCTGATCTGGACATCACCTGAAATTAAAAAATATTCAGAACTCAACATTATTAAATGTTTGCAACAAAATAATTACCAAATTGGATCATTGTTTAAAAACTTCTTAATGTTAATTCATAATTTATTTTTTCTTCTCTCTTTCATTTTTGAGGTTGGAGATGAGATAGTTCGTATAAATGGATATTCCATTTCGTCATGCACACATGAAGAAGTCATAAACCTCATTCGTACAAAGAAAATAGTGTCCATAAAAGTAAGACGTAAGTGACATAAAAACCCCACCTGTATCGCTAAAGATTGCTGTTAATAGTGATATGTAGAAAGTATTACTTACCCAGAGTTTTTTTCTTTTTCAGATGTTGGCATGATACCTGTCAAAAGGTAACAGTATTTAATTTGAAAACAAGTTAGATTATTCATTTTTCACGTGGCCTCTTCAGTATCCAAAGAAACTCTATATTTATCTATATATCTGAAAATACCTTTGTGATAAATGGACAGATGTCTTGTTTGATGAATCTGTGTTTTTCTGACAGTTGCCTACTTCATTGAACCAAATTCTATTTCCTCATTATTCACGATATTACCTGGAAATTTCATTATCAATGCACCTAGCTGAACAGAGAGCTCCACTGCTTCTCTATGTTCCTAACATTTGAGAGTTACTTAAGAGCTTAGAAAAAGTTCAAGTTATCTTCCTCTTCCAATTTTTGTTGAAAAGTTGAAACTTTGAGTGGAATGTTTGAGAATGTTAATGATGGGAGGTGGGTCTCTGCATAGGCCTTTGTATGAGCTGTTCAAGTTATGATTATATTCACAGTCTTTCTTAGAGTTTCCCAAAATTGTTTCACTTCAAGGGGTTTTCTTGATTTTATGTTTAACCAGCTTTACTAGCCTAAATAATTGTATGCTTGTTTGATGTTTTATTTATTGCTGGAAAATAAACTGACTGTTGTGAATGGTATACAAAATAGGAGACCATGTTCCAAAGTAGCTTCTTGAATACATTCACGTTTTATTTTGTCCCCATTATTTTAAATTACTTTTTCCTTCCAGTTCAGCAGATGAACCCCTTAAATGGCAATATGTGGACCAGTTTGTGTCAGACTCTGGGGTAAGAGACCAGTATTTTATTAATATGTCTTCTGGGAAATCTGTAATGGTTCTGAAACACTTTCTCTGACCTTATCCCAGGAGTTAGTGTATGTATTTCTATGATGCAATATCTTGTTACAAGTGTTCTGGGAGAAACATCTTTTGTGATAATGAAATTATTCTAGAGTAATTAGATAAGGAAAGGGCAGGATACAAATGAAATATCTTCTACTCATTAATTGGTACTTTATATTACTTGAGCTTATTAACTTACCAGGCTATAGTTCTACTGTATAAATCTTTAACAGATTATTATACCTATTTTAGGTATATTACGGAAGAATGACAGTTTTGAATGCAAGTGACTTCTGAGTTGCAGCAGTGAAAAGAGAGACCACAATTGTCGTTCTTTTGCTTTCAGGAAGAAAGATTTAGTTAAATAGTGAGCACTATAATGTATTTTTCTAGTTCTTTTGTCAGGGAACATCTAAATTATTATTTTGGCATATCACTTTCCTCTAATTTCCCTCACTCTTTTCTGAAGACAAGATTTGACTATTTAAACCATCTTCTCCAAATAGAAAGATCAGTTCAGTCTTTCATCTGAGCTGTGCAGCTCCACTGAAATGACTGTACTTCACATTCATCTCCAGTAGGACCTCAGAGAAATCTTATCTTGATGTTGGCACCATTTGATCCTGGCTTCGTGAAGTTTTATAGTAGTCTTGACAAGACTTCAACACAGAGTAACATCTGCAGCATTTTTTAATCCCCTACAGGAAGGAAAAGGCAGTGTTGCTGGTCTTGCTTCTTCTGGAGGGAGGGACAATAAAGAGAAAAAAGTCTTCATTAGCTTGATTGGTACAAAAGGCATGGGCTGCAGGTGGGTACGTGTTTCTTATTTAATGGCACTAGTTTAAGTGAGATATCCAAGGCAATTTTTTCCATCCTTCATTGATATGATATCATAAAATGGAGATCCACCCTGGATCAGGAAGGCAAACTGGAACAGGAGGATATCTGTGGCACACATTATGTATTTTTAGAGAAAACATAAATACCTATCTTACAAGTTCTGGCTTAAAACCAAAAAAATTTTTAAATTTAAAAATAAAAGCAGGCTGAAGCGACATAATAGAATTTATCATGGAATTGGATCTTTTAAATGCTTTTACATTTTATTTTTCTTTTAGCTTTTTCTTAAATCACAGTTTTGTGGTGTAAAGGATAGAAGATGATAAACCATTGTGTGTGTACTGGCAAATTTTGATGTTTGTTTCAGAGTAGGTTAATACCACAAAGACATTCTTTAATCAGAAACAAATTATGATAAAACAACTAAGACTTCTCACTGTATTATACTATATTATTCCATAAGTATTATCCTATATATGTTTGTTTTTTATATTACACCAGTATTTCCAGTGGTCCAACACAAAAACCAGGCATTTTTATCAGCAATGTTAAGCCGGATTCTCTTTCAGCAGAGGTGGGCTTAGAGGTAAGTATGCCACGTTCCAAGGTAGGTACCACAAGGAAATCTTGCTTGGTATTTACTACTTCAGGGATTCTGGGTCACTGTAAAGTGAAAATAAATACTGTGTAGTTACATTTCATGAAGTGAATTTCCTAAATTTTAAGAATGTGAGAAGTGCCCTCCCGGGTCAGACCAATAGTGTCCATTGAGCTCAGTATTCAGTTTCAAACAGTGGCAATAGGAAGTGTTAATATGGGAGGATGTGGAGGCCTGGCCAATTTCCAGTCTGTTGCCATTGTACTCTGCCAGAACCTATGATTATTGTATTAAGAATGTTAGAGAGTATATCTTTTTATGTTTTAATTTAATATATGTATTAATTTAGTTTCTGTACTATGATTTGGATTAATTCCTTTAGGTCGGTGATCAGATTGTTGAGGTAAATGGAGTGGACTTTTCTAATGTGGATCATAAAGAGGTATGATTGAATTTTCCTAATTCCCCACATACATAGCTATCAGTTTATTAAGCATCTGTCTGATTTTCCTGGCTGCAAAAAATATGTTGTTATTGGGCTACTTAACAAAAGAGATTGTGTATTGAACATGGGAATTTGGAGATTTGAATAAGTACCACCCTGTTTAGTTCAGATAGGTCTTCTGGAACTTACAGCCTTGACAACCAGCATATTTCATCCTATGTATGCAGGCCTTTTATCACTTAATTCAGACTGATTTTTGTTTTGTTTTAATTTACAGGCTGTCAGAGTGCTCAAAAGTAGTCGTACTTTGACTATCTCTGTGGTAGCAGGCGCTGTAAGTAGTACATTTATAAAGCAGAACATTTATGAAAATTACTATGTGGGCAGATAAATGGTAAAAATAAACAGTTAAGACATAAAGCTGTGTTTCTTTATAATGTCTATACCACTAAGTTCTGTCAAACCAGGACAGTATTGAGTGGCTTTTGATTATTCCATTGCTAACTGTCCACAGCATTCTCAGATAAAACAGTTTCATGGCAGTGGGCTAGTAAAAAACCATTCCCTTGACAAGGAAATGAAATTAACTTTATCGTAATGATTTCTCATGTTTGAGAGCTTCTGATAGCTGCTTCTGCTGAAACATGAAAGGTGAATTGGATTGGAGTCAATTTTTCCTTATGAGTAGCTGATGTATTAGTCTTATTCCCAATTAATTCCTTGTATAACTGTTTATCTGATCTCTTTATTGTATCAACACATGAAATATTGTTCCCTTTTCCATTTCCACTGTTCTGTGTAACAGAACTAAACACCTTTGGTACCTAATCTAGAGCCAACTGAAATTATTTAAATCTTCCCACTGACTTCAGTGTGGCTTTCAATAAATGTTTTAATGCATTTTCTGCTTTAATTCTTCTTATAGTAAAATGAATTGTTATAGAAGAGAATACTCAAATTCCACAGGCTAATCAAAGGTGGTATTTCCTAATTGCCTTGCAACAGAATTGTATAGGGAAAACAAGATTTAATAAGTCTTTTAAGCTACTTCCTAAGGGTTCATGTATACTGTGTAGCTGTATTAAGGAATTAATGGTTTAATTGAACTGCTCTTGCAGTAACAGAAGTTGTAGTTGTCCAAAGGCGTCATAGACATTGTTTAAACAAATGTTCCAGACTAGTTGATTGAGCTCCAGGAACTCAACATCCTAAGGACTTAGTTTCAACTCTGAGATATATTACCAAGTGTTAGAAAAGATGGGCTCTACTCCAGCATATACCACTAGGATTGCATCCTTAAAATGGTGACATTTTGCTATGGAACTCTTCTGCTCTGCCCTACTTCGCCTTGTGTGTCTCTCCTTTCCTCAGTACACCTTTGTGCTGAAGAAGAGGTTGCATAAGGGAACAGCTTCTCTACTCCTGTTTATCAGTCAGCAAAGACTGGTGCAAAGGCATTGTTCGCTGCCTTTTTTTGTTTGAGCTGTCTGCTCTGAGCCTTAGAGATATGAAAAATTCAGTCTTCCTAATTAACAGGGGATTTGATTTCAATTTCAGTAATGAAAATTAGATAAATGTTATCAAAGTGTTCCACACTGCACCGTGGAAATATCTTTATTTAAGAGAAAATAGTGCTGGTGTCTTAGCTGTAAAGCATATGAAACAGGAACAAAACCAACTGAAACACATTAGCTATATATCCTTTTGGCAGTGTATGTTCCCTGTATTTGAGTTCCCCAAATGATGGTACATTTCCACAGTAACCAGGCAAAAGTGTTAAAACTCAGTTACTTCGTAGTTCTTTTCTAGGCTGGGATTCATTCGGTGTGTGGTTCTCTAGCATTGCATTGCTCAGTGAGATCTCAGGAAAGTATAATGTGGAGTTTTTTTCTTGGTGACACACTGAGCATGTCTTTGGCATGGCCCCTACACTGTTGTTTCTGACTTCAGTAGTCGCATGCCCCTTCTGAGGCATTCAGCACATGATAACTTTGAGACTGAAACTGGAGTGGCTCTTTAGAATGAAGTGGTCAGATCTTCTAGTGTCTTTGAGAAAGCATTCCTCAGAAAAAGTAAGGTGAGGAAATGGCAGATGTGCTAGTACGTATTTTTTTTTAATTGTTTCCTAGAAGAATTACATTCGTGAGACACTTTCACAACTGATTTGAGTGGTGGCTCTGATTGCAGGGAAAGGAGCTGTTCATGACTGAAGAAGAAAGGCAGAGAGAAGCACGTCTCCGTGAGCAAGAACGTCAGGAGTTGATGCATCAGAAGCGACTTGCACTGGAGACTAACAAAATAATCAAAGAGCAGCAAGAGAAAGAGAGATTGTAAGGACTCTGCGTAGGACAGTCTTAAAAAATTAGCTTGGATTTGCAAAGGGCATGGAAGACAGGAAAAACTATGAGAAGATTCCCTTAGATTAACTTAATTTTGCTGTTGCAGAGTTTCTGCTCATAAATTCTTATCCTTTGGTGCTCTTGATGTTCTGGGTTTTCAAAGCTGATATCATTCAAACACATCTTGAGTAGAAGGGTCACTTTGTTCCCTGACTGTCATACCCCTATGATTCAGTGTGATACTAGTTATTTTCCTGATGGCATTCCCTCATATGTTTTTTGAGGGGTTTTTTTTAGCAGGACAGTTACAATTTTATATTCTTACCATAACACATTATGGAACTGTCTCAGAAGAAGATAGTGACTTAGAGTTAAATAGATGATATGCTGTTATTATCCAGATAGTTATGCATGTCCTCAGGGTTCCTACAAAAGTATATTGAACCCTTGTTGTCTTAAAGATGACTTTTAAAAAGGAGCATTTTTCCCAAATGCATATGTATTTACTGTCTATATCTTTTACTTATATGCTGACACACTTGGTGCAAGTTCTTACTCAGAAAATACTATTTTTATCATTGTGTCCTAATTCCTCTTATTATAGAAGAAAACTGGAGATTTCCCAGAAGGCTGCAGAGGAAGAAGAGAGATATCGCAGAGAAATAGATCAGTAAGTAAAAACTTACATAGGCAGTATGCTGCCTGAAAACAAGTCCTTATATATTAGATCTGTCTGAAAACATTCTGCACATTCTTTTCTAATAAAATGGTATTTTATTTACTGTGTTGGCATTGAACCACTGCATTTAATTCTAACACAAAAAAATAAATGAATACTGCAAGGAAAGGGATCAGGGAAGAAACAGAAGAATGACAAAGGAGATGGAAAACATGCATATACTCAGAGGTTTGACATATCCATTTAGTTTATATTTAAAAAACAAAGAAAAACAAACATGGAAAAAAACCAAACCAAAAACCAATTTGTTCACAGTCTGTAAGAGTGTACACAGCATGGAATTTACTATCTTTTTCAGTCTCTCATTTCTGAAAACAAAAGCTATGTACATTTAGACTAAAGTAAGGACTATGTGATGCTAATTGTCTTGAGTAGAAATTTCAGTAATCATAAATTTTAAGTAGGCTTTTGCTTTTCTGAGGAGGGAATTAACTAAATTAAAACTGTGGCACTAAAGTTGGAAGTTCCAAAACCTATTTTATTCAGGAAATCTGATTTTTATTATCACAGTCTTTTCTGGTTTTAAAAATCTATGATTCTAGGAACTAGACACATTTAAAGACTGTATCATCATGAGGTCAGTACTATACATGTAACTTAAGCATTGTTTTATGTTTGGAACTTTAAAATTAACTAGTATAACATGTCATTACCACAGTAATTAATTTCCCTTCTAAATGACATTGGGAAATTATGTGAAAGTGCAAAATTGCACATATCTGTTTTGATGCAGCCTTTTAGAGCTAAGGTTGACCCTGTAGTACTCAGCTTTGCACCTTTGATATCTTAAACAGTGTTTAATTCATATTCATTCACTTAAGTCCATTTTCATGTACCTGTATTAGCTAAAATTATCTGATGGAAAAAGAGCAGGGATTTCTGAATCTGTGGAGTGCAGAAGGGAATATATTCCACAGCTGTCACAAGAGAAAAATCTTCTGACAGTTGTGCTGTGGGCTCTACATGGGTAAATTCTTTCACATTTTCCTTTTTTAATTCCTGGGCAATAGATGACGTCCTGTTCTTTATTATGGTCTGCTGTAGAAATTCCTGAAATAGCAGTGGAAAGCTGCTATAAAAGCAGACCATCACAGGTGAAGAATGATTCCTTTCTCCAGGTCTAGATTGCCTGTCTGATATAATGAATGTTCACTATCTGCAGTATCCTTATGAACTAAGTGCATCTTTACTCACTCAGCGAGGATTTAACTCTGTGTAGTTCAGGTTACATTGTAACCCCCCCCCCCCCCCCCCTTTTTTTTTTTTTTTAATTAAAATGAAATCTAAACATTGTCCAATATTCCCTGCTATTGACTATTTCCTATTTCAAAGCCAGGTTGGACGGGGCTTTGAGCACCCTGATCTAGTTGAAGATGTCCCTGCTCACTGCAGGGGAGTTGGACTAGATGACCTTTAAAGGTCCCTTCCAACCCCAACTTCTTTGATGACTACACTTCCAAATTTAAATACTGACCTCAGCTGCAGGTTTAATAGTGATTTGACCATGTGAATATTTTTTTACTTTACCTTAACTAATTTAGAGATGCAAAAGATAATCCAGGTATAAATAGCATCATATATATCTAGGGCCTGGTAAATTTTGGCACTGTATATCAGTTTACCAGTTCAAGACAGGCTACAGCCAAGAATAGATCTTGGATCACTTAAAGGCACCATGTATGAAACTAAAAGGTATTAGGTTATACAGCAGTTCTCTTGTAACCCAATTGGGATTTGATGAATTCTCCTTCAAAATGCCCTTTTTTGATCACGGTGCCTTTCTAGGTACCTTCTAGGTACTTTCCTTATTTTATGAGCTTCTTTGTCCTAACATGTGACAATTCTCTCTCTCTTTTTTTTTTTTTTTTTTTTTTTTTTATCCCTAGAATTATGAATATAATGTGGTTTGTGTCTCATAAGTGTTCAGTTATTTTTTTGAGAAGAGTTACTTTTTAGTGTAGCATAGGACTATAGGTTTAGGAAGCAATCATCAAAATAGAAGTAAGATAGAAATAAGACACACTCCTTTTAGGTATAATTGGCCATTGTAACATCCGATTTAAGCATGTGGTTGATGCTCTGTCAATTAGTATTTTAGTTAAAATTTATGATTTTTCTATACTTCCCAGTTCTAAAAATGAAAAATAAGGTGAGAGATGTTTTTTGGCTTCCGTTAAGGTTGCAGTCAGTGTTGTCATGTGTCTCTGGGCTTAATATCTGTGCAGGTATCTAACTGGCATTAGGAGTCTCAATATTAAATGAGGATATTTTACTCAGTTACATTTTATTTTACAAAATGTCTTAGTAGCTTAGTAAATGAAAATTAGATGAAATTAATTTGGTTTAGGAGAAAGGGCAGTTTATTATGCTTTATATTAAAGAGAAAAAAACCAAACATACTGAACACTAAATAATTGTAATGAATTTAAATTTGGTTTTATACTCTGAATTCCTAGCTGCATTTTTCCCCTATAGGATAACAGCAGAGGAAGAGAAATTTAAAAAGGAGTGGGAAGAAGACTGGGGTCCTAAAGAACCTCCCAAATCTCTAAAAACTGTAACTGCAGAAGTGCACTCTGTACCTCGTTCCAAACACAAAAGTAAGTCATTGATTTCAGTCTGCTTCCTAGGGAAAGTGTTTGTTTCAGGCACATCACTCTATGGAATATGTCACCAGTTCGTGATCAAGCCAAGCTATCTATGACGTGGTTATTTTCAGAAGGCTGGAAGCATATGATAGATTAATTTAATAGCTCTTATTTAAGTTACCTAGCTCACAAAATCTGTGTCCTCTCAAAAAGTCATGGTTTTTAGCAATCAGCAGCAGCAGGAAAAAGAAAAAGCATGCTTTCCATGTTGTTTCTGTTCAGTGTTTTGCTTGTCAAACTTTGTGCAGAGCAGTTCTTGCATCAGTACACTTATGCTGATTACCACCATATGCCTAAATGGAAGTAGTGCTGTGTTGTTTATGTGATTATGTTTTTATGTCCATGTGGATAAGTTGGTATTTAAATGCTAAGTTCCATACATATGAGTGCTTTTATCTCAGTGAAGGAAGTATTGCTTATAGTAATCAGTAATATTTTAGGTTTTATGACCATTTTATTACTGAGTTTTGTTACTTCTGAAAATCAAGGTATGAAGGAGACAAGGGTTTTTTTTTCTTTCATTTGGAATTAGCTTTGAGCTTTCTGCATTAATCAAATCAGCAAATAATTTAACATCATTTTTGTATTTGAGAAGAGGTCTTCGGAGTTTGAAAGTAGGAAACTAGTACTGGATTTGCAGTCTCATTTGGAGTGAGTGAATGCACTTGGTACTATTCCTACTGTTACCTTTTTCCTTCTCCCTTACTCTAATTCAGTGTGGAGATTAAGGTTTTGAGTATTTTTATCTAAAAATTGCTTGCTTGCTTCTAACTATAAAAGACAGATATGGAATCCCTGCTTTCAGCTTGGAGGAAATGAATTCAATGTTTAATTTTCAGAAAAATCTAAAGATCTCCCTCATCTCTTCAGCAGAACCGCAGTCCTCTCTTTGAGGGCTGTAGGAATGTCTTGAAGTGTCCTTGCTTCTTTTCCATGAGGAGGAGTAAACAACTTGATTGAGTAAAGAGCTTAATATATTGAATGTGGTAAAAAAATGGAACAGAAACCGTTGTTGCAAAAAATCAGTAAGACACTAGACAAAAAAGAAAAAATCAAAGATTCTTAAGAATCAGCGATTTTGAAACACCTTTTCCTTGCCGTTTTTCTGTTTCTCTCTTACTATCATTTTTCTTACTGAATCTATCTCTTTTTTTTTCTCTCCTGTTTCCTTTTTCCTATCTTTTACCTCTTTTCATCCATTGCAGCAGGTCTTTCCCAAACAGGCTGTAATCTACACAGCCTGAAAATTGGTTTGATATCACTGAGCAGTCTGCTTCAGAATTAGTGGAGAGACTGAGGAGGTACTGTTTGTACACTGCAACTTTTCCATGAAGAATTGCCCTGAAGTGTAAGTCTGATTTAGTTGTCTGGAGGAATTTAAGGTGCTTGGAGCTTAATTTGCGGTTAAGAAGCTGAGTTGGGAGCTTTAGATAGTATGTGGAGAGTGTAGTAAAATGGTGAAAAAGTAGGAAGTGCCTGTGGAGCAGATATTGCATAACTTAACGGAGACCTGGGTCAGTTTCTAACCTGATTACATTATTTTTTTGTGTGACTTTGTGGAAGTCACTTAACTTTCCATGGATGAGAAACTGAGATGGGGAAATGTTTCTTCTGCAACCATCTGTTATCCATTTAGTTTTCTGATTCTTCAAGACAGTGTTTTCTCTGTATAGCATTTACCCCACTGACAGAACAGTAGCAGGCTGATATTTCTTTTTGAAGCCAGATATCCCAGAACTGCTGATGGTTTGATTATAGGAAAAACCACCTACCTCTGCAGGCTTCCCTTCCCAGCAGAGCAGACTAATTGGCCATATGCAGATTCTGACTGCTCTTCAGGGTTGAAGGAGGTTGGAAATTTGATTTAAGCAGGAGCTCAGGTTTTTTTCAATTATGTGGAGAAATATCCCATTGCTAACTTCTTATTTCATGGTAACTTCTAGTCACACATTGCTGATCTCTCTTTCATTTCATCGGAGCCTCCAGTTAGACTGTCATTTCTGTCTCCTCACTCTTTTCCTCCTTTGTTTCTCTAGTAGATTTAAAGGGAGTTGCACATGACCAACTTGAAACAGATGACATGGATGAAGTGATCACGAAGCAGGACAAACAGGTTTGCTGCTCAGCCTTAACGTCCTATCCTGATTCGGATTCTTCCTGTGTTTCTCTTCCTCCTGACAGTCAGTCTTAACCCTGAACGGATCACTTGGTTTTGCTAGGGCAATATGTGTGGTCCTTTCATAAATGATGAAAGGTTATGGCACTGTTGCTGTCATTGCTTTCCAAAGATGCCTTGGTAGGAATACAAAATCTGTCAGTCCTACAGAAAGGTGGATTGTATTCAGAGCTCTGTGTGTTATCAGTGTTTCTTATATAAAGTTTCAGTAATGGATTATTTTAAATGTTTTTACTTAGCAATGTGGTTTTTAGTATTTATGCTTTTGGCTCAAAATATTTTATCCTAGGAAGTGGAGCTTTTCATGTCTCCTCAAATGCCACTGTGTCCTGCCACAAGGTTGAATGAGTTGGAATACTTGTTTCATTTTAGGAAGGCTCGTTAAAACTGGTGTCAAGTAGGACTGTGCCATAGAAATCTTAGCAATGCATATGGCTGTGTGGTTCTGTATGAAGATCACTTGTTGCATTTGCTTTGCTTAACATAAAGTGTGCATCAGTAAAATAAGGGTAACTTGTGACTAAATGTACTAGCACAACTGATCAAGAAGTCGTCTAAGAACTTGTCATGTAATGTTGAACCTTTGGTGTTGCGCCTTCAAATAAATTTTAATCGGTGACATGTCAGCATGGTTTGATCTGAATCTGAAACAGTCCTTGACTTCTTCAAAAAACAACTTTTCCTTTACCTTTTTGTAGCTTTTGGATGGTTTTATCGGTATGAAGGAAAATTTCCCACAGTCCGCAAGGTACAAAGTTTGCTGTGTGGATGTTTGCTGTGCATTTCAATTTTAGTTGCTTTTTTTTCCCCTCTTCCTCTCTTATTATTCAATATTATTTATAGTCAAATGCTGCTTCTTTTAATGTGCACACAAATTAAGATGTGTTTGGGATGCGTCTGCCTAGGAGTTTGTCCTTTTGAATACTCTGGACTTTTCAAGCCCTGCCAGCTGCAGTGGGAAGTGTATGTCAGTACTTTGCAGAAGGTGTTCAGTACAGGTGGGCAGTGCATATCTTTGTGCTCCAAAAGCCCTCAGAATAATGTATTTTAAAAAAAATACAGAGACAAAAATCTAATGGTAACCAAATATGCAGTTCCCAGTTATACCTTTGCAAATCTCCCAGTAAGAGGAGTGCTGAAGGCAAAAGGCTTTCAGGCATGTACAGCACACAGAATACTTTTATATCTGTAGAGCTGCTGTGAAAGTGTTACAATTTCAAGTTATTAGTGTTTCAAATAATACTTTATTCTTGCCATTGCTTTATTTCTTCCAATGTATATTAGTCATATTATAGGATTTATGTGGTTGTGTTTGGGGTTTGTTTTTTTTGTGATGACTGATGGTAATTAACTGGAGTAGAAGTGTCAAGGAGAGTTCATATGTCTATCTCCTGAGAACTTAAGGTTTCTGAGGAGCTCAGGACTGTATCTGACAGGTGAAGTATTTGTGTCACCATTTAGGACTATTAGTTTAACCTTCTCTGTGAACATGAAATTTCTTTTCTCCTTAATAGAGAATAAGAAATGATGGTAGGCTCTGATACCATTTTGTACTGCGAGTGACTGTAAATCATCATGGATCTGAAACTTGTGTGAAAGCCAGTACGGTTAGAATTTCTGTCTGAAAAGTATGAATACATGTTATGAAAACTGATGATCATGAGGTGATCTTGCTGCTGACAAAGATAGTTTAGAGAGCTTCCAAATACCTTTTCATATAGTAATGGAGACCTTACTCAGTTCCTGTTGAACTCTACTATATGATGTGGACTAGAAGCTTGAAGAGGTGCAATTTTAATCTTTTTCTTTTAGAAATATTTTTAGATCTGGAAGTGTTGAGTTTTCATCCTACTCCAAATTGCTAATTGCTTTTTTGTTTGTTTTAAAAACAAAATTTGACTCTGTACTAAAAATGTCTTTAATAAGAAGTAAACTGAATCCATGGGGAAAATGGATGGAAAGGGTGACTCATCCTGTTGTATCTGAATGCAGCAAATGCAACTAAGATTGTCTGATAATATGTTCCTATTCTGGAACACTTTGGCATGTGTACTGCTTGATGTGCCTTTAAATTCAGTAATTTTTTCAAATGTTGGTACCTAGCAGGTTGACCTGCCAGATGTTACATTTAGTAAACAAAACTAAATGTATCCTCTGATTTATTAGAGGATAATATCAGCAATCGTTATTGAGGTACAAAGTAATTAGCCTTGAATAAAACGTGCCAACAGAACTATGTATTATTTTAAAACTTTAGTGTGAAAAGGTAGATTTTTTTTTTTTTACAACAACTTTTTTCATTTTTTTTCTTTGACAATTATTGGGTTTGGTGGGTTTTAAATTTTTTTTCCCAATGCTACCACCATGTAATCGTGAAGCAATATACAACATCCCACTGAACTCAGCAGTAAAAAGTTCCAATTAACTACTTGACTGGGAGAATTGACTTTTGTAGCTGCTCCAAGACTTTATTGTCAGTATTACATGTGAAAGGTGGAAGGAAGACAAAAAATGCTAAGGTGAAGCATGTTCATGCTTTGAATTCCCAAAACCACCATGAAAAGTCAGAAGCTGATGGCAATGAGCAGAGCAAAATCAGACCTGAAGCTTGGTCTGTCTGAGCGCTGTCAGTGATTGACAATAAGTGACCAGCTGTGCCTTCTTTCTACTTTTTGATGAATGAAAGGAGAGCATGGGCTTTCAAATATGAACTAGGCACTTGCCAGTACAAACAGGAGAGGGTAGCAGAAATGTGACATCATTAATGTAGAAAAAAAAGGAGCAGAATGTATTTCAAAGACAACAGAAACAGAGACTCTGGAAAGACTGCAGTTTTCCCTTTTGGTTGCACTCTACCTGTAAAATTTTAGAGTTGATTTGTGTATTAGATCACTCACATGAGCAGATTTTATCCAGTGCTTGTAGGACCTACTTCGTTTTCGTGATGCAGTGTTCTTTCCTGGGAGCAATTCAGTTTCTGCACTGATCTAGGCCTTTCCTTTGTAATTGCTCATTTCAGTTGTGTTGCAGGCATGCAGTGCTGGTTTTGGGACATATGCACAAAGAAGTTCTGTGCGTAGAATATTCACATGAGCATCTGTCACCTGAAGGCAACCAGTCTTGTTTTTATTTTAAAATTCCAAAGCAGAGAGATGGCAAATCAAGACCTAACCAAAACTGTTTTGAATATGCAAAGTTTTGTAGCAGGCCTGTGTGCTCCGATGTTGTAACTTTGCAGGGGAGCAAAAAAGTTGATCTGTCCGAACTTGTCCGACTTGTGTTAATGTGCACAGGTCCTCCTACAGTACAATTTCCTGCAGATTGCTGGGGCAGGGGACTTTGGATTTTCTTTTAAAAGAATCTCCATACTTGCACAGATTCTAATGAAATTTTCAAGACAGGCACTCATGTACTGAGTTTGGAGTTTGTGATGCTTTTAGCTGCTGTAAAAATCTGTTTAAAAAAACAAAACCAAAACCACCTTTTTTTTTGGGAAAGAGAGAAAGAAGTCAAAAAGTGACAGCCTGTGTGAACAGAAGAAGAATAAAAAGGAAATGGAGTTTGAGCAAAAACTTGCCAAAGAGAAAGAAGGAATGCTGGAGAAAGAAAAACAGCTGAAAATAAATCGTCTTGTGCAAGAGGTATGTTGTATTCTTCTATCAAGGGCAAAATTATATTGAAAGAAAATGAGCTGAATCTTTAGTGGAATTATCTTAGCAAGACACTTGTTTAATTATGTCAAAGATAATGAGGTTTTAAAAAAATTGCTGTTGTAATGCAAAACTCTGTTCCCAGGTTTGCTTGTTTCGACAGTCACTTTTTGCCCAAATCAGGATATCTCTGCATTTAATGAGTGTCTACGTGTATTGATGAAATTAGTGAAAGGCAGCAAAATAGGAAATCAGTCTCAAAGGCATAATTAGTTTTAGAACTAATTTAAATGGGATTTCATACTTCTGAAACATATTTGTATTTTAACTATGCCTATAACCTTTTTTCATGCACTGATGTTATGGTTAAGGTATCTGAGACAGAACGAGAAGACCTGGAAGAATCAGAAAAGGTGCAGCACTGGGTGGAAAGACTTTGTCAGACACGGTTAGAACAGATTTCCTCTGTGGAAAATGAGTCTCCTGAGGTAAAATTCTGGCTTGTTGCATGATCTCTAAATACCTCACTAGTTGTCTCCTAAAAGCAACAGGTTTTTACCAAAGAAAAATCTGTCTTCATCTTTACCTCTCAGCCTTCATTCTAAGAGAGGGGAAAGATGTCAGTAATTGATGAATTACAATCTATAGTATTTGCTGTTCCTATATTTTACAGATTTTTAAATTTTTATTTTAATGAACTGGTTTTTATTTTGTCCTTAACAATTTTATTGGCTCATAAGCTGTTTGGGCTAGGTGGGGCATGCTACCAATAATACAACTGACACTAGAATGCCTAGCCATATATTTTAGTATCCTGTGCAAATAAGAACATCATTGATGATGAGCTCTTGAATGCTTCCTTGTATTGCATGGAATAAAGGTACAGGTTAAGAAAATAACAAAGATAAGCTCCCAAAGAACAGGGTCTGGTTTTGTGTTTTAAATACTCCACTTAAATGAAGGGAGTTGCAGATAGTGATTGTGCCTTAGAGCCTGATGGTTCTAGATGTGGAGTGAGGCTTTCCCACCATCCTGCTGCTTTGGATGTCTTCCAAGCACAGCTGCTTTCAAGAGGAACACTGCAATCTGCCAAACTCCCCCGGGATCCCCGAGAAGTTGCAACCACAAAGAGGACCCTTGGGGAACACTCTCGCATGAATTTCCTTCAGGTCAATGTGGAGCAGCTCTGAAAAAAGCATTTGTCTCATGTTCTTCCTGGCCTCAGGCTCAGATCCATGTGGCTCTTCAGTGCAGGTCTCTAGGACAGTGGAATCATGATGCTGAGTTTTCTCTCACTACCTAAATTTGTCTGCTTATATTTTACTAGATCTTTGTCCCCCTTACTTTGTAAAGTAAGAGGGAATGTTGAAGTTTAAAATCACTGTTAGATTTCCAGAGCTCTACTCTGATTTAAGAAAAGCACCCCATGTTGTATTTGCTCCATCCATTCTTCTATTACGTTATATATCAATATACTGTTACAAGTCTTCTGCAAAACTACCCAAGCAGTTAAACTTATAAACACAAAATCAGAATGCTTCTGTGGGATAAATGCAGCTGAACAATATTCAGGTGCTACAGGGGTTCAAGAGCAGTCAAGATGTCTTGACCTCTTGCCAAAGAAATACCTATTTTTTTTTTAGTACCAAAGGGCAAGTATGGCAGATAAGGAGATCCCAAAGAACGTCAACAGAGATACCCACTTGAGGGAAGTATTGTCCTATTAGGCTGAAATGCATGTGTCTGTAGGACAGCTCACCTCTAATATTTCCTTAGCTGGGTCTACAAAATAGCAAAATGAAAGAGTATCAACTGGATTTTCTTCAATACTACAGTTTAATCACTGATAAAATAAATGTTAGCAACTCTAATAGCATGTGTAGAATGCTGCTTCACATGCACAGCCCTATTTTTTGGGTGAGCTGCTGATTATGTTCAAACCCTGGAGTTTGTTAGCCCCACAATGCATCTGGTGTTGATTAACAGAAATTAGAAAGTCCAGAACCTCCTGAGGATCTGAATTTCATAGCACCCTAAACTTGTTTGGGATCTGCTTAAGCTTGATTCCCCCTCTTGTATTAATGTCTGGTTATGTTTACACCAGACTTTACCCCCTTTCCCTTTTTTAATGGCATAGAGTTTCAGGATCTGTCTTCAATTACTTTCATTTTATATAATCACCTTTGCATGGAGCAATTCTTGCTTTCTCTTCATAAGAGTGAGAGAGGCAAGAGTTGTGTTACCTGTGATTTGTCCTATGATTCTACCTTCTGAAGGCTTCATGCAGTTGGGTGATTTTTTTTGTTTGGTTGGGTTTTTTTTTTGTTTTTTTTTTTGTCAGCCCCCCCTGCCCCAGCAGCCAAGGCTGCTGTCACAGCACTTCAATTTACTTCTTCATAGACTGAAATCCCAAGGAGCGCTTTTTAAAAGGCTTTCAGAGGAAAACATTGTATATATTCTGTGTCAGAGAATCCAAGAGCTTCCAGTGCAGGAGCAGTTAGGCTGAGTAATGTTCTAGGATTTGCCATTAATTTCTTCAGCACTGTTGCAGGCAGATGAAGTGTTAAGGCAGATTTCTGTTCTGTTGCACATAGTTGACAAGTGGACGTCCTTCTGCTTCTCCTTCCGCTACATCAATGCGGCGTTTTGCTGGTGGCCTGCAGCTTCATACCACAGATCTTGATGATATAAACTTAGATGAAGTTGACAAGCCTAAACAACGTGTGGCACCACCTCTGCCACCACCACCCACTGTTACTCCAGCATCATCAGCTCATCCTCTTCCTACGGCAAATGTTCCACTTTCAAGAGGTCCAGCCCTGGCAGTAACACCAGCTTCCCAGGTGACCTCGTGATCTGTTTGGATGCACGTGCCTTTACCATTCCCCTGCCTGGCCTCCCTCCCCTGCTCCATCACCCACTCCACCCACTGGATCCTACCCATCTGCCATGTGCGATGTTAAAAGAAGGAATGTGATGCTTTCCTTGTTTCATAGTAATGAATGCAGTCCAGAGGTAGTTTTGTTTTGGTTTATTTTATTTTTTTTTAGTTGAGAGGGTTTTGCTTTCTCCTCTGTAGGTGCTTTGTAACCCTACCACGTGCAGGTATCTTGAGCAGAATGTATCAGTTAAAAAGACAATTCAGACATGATTGTTTAAAGATTAATTTTTAAAAAAGCAGTGGCAGACAGCAGATTGGACTAATAGTGGAGAAAAATATCTGTGTAGTAAAAATGACTTGTGAAAGTGTTTTAAATATGTCATCAAGCTGCTTTGTTAGGTGAGAAGAGTGGACAAAGAAAATTAGCTTAAAATCAGGATCTCAAACTTTTAAAACATCAAGACAGTATAAATTACCAGTAAAACACTTCTAAATGAGCAAAAACTGGCAACCAGTTTTGACTTTTTTTGCACACACAGGAGTTACGGATTTCTTTGAGAAAACATTCTTTCTCCTTATTACAATCTCAGTCCAGAAGAGGATCGAATATAAGAAATCCTGTGGCAGATCTCACTTTAGGAGAGAAATGGCAGCTGTTTCATCATAATTCCCTTTGTTAAGCACTGTAGTGGGATTCATGTACTCATTTTTGTGGCAAATATTCTTATTTGTTTCAAATGGCAGAAGAGGATCCCATGTGGTTGCTTCTTTCCTACAGTTTTCTGCATGGTTTGACTGACTGCGTTGTTGGCTTTCATTGTTTTGCATGTTTACTTGGAAATACTAGGCTTTGTGTTTGCATGATTCTGGTTGGGGTGGGGAAGGATATACAAATTAATCGCTTCTCAGGGGAAACTGGCAGATTATTTCTATGTGAATAATTACCCAAATGTGAGCTATGATTCTCTTCTTACAAGCTTAAGTAGACCTCTGATAGTGCTCAATCTTTGTGGTTTGTCTGTTGGAAGTGCCAAGAATGTGCTAGGTCCACTGAAATGGAGATGTCAGATGTTCTTATGGATTACAGGTTTCCCAAGTTAAAGTGAAGTAAAAGTTATGTGCAATGGCACAAATGTACAAAATATTAGTGTTTAGAGGAGAAATACATTCTCCTAATGCTAATAGAAAATATTCAGATAAAAGAAGTATTATAGGAACCACCATCCTGGATCTGATGGCAAAGCCGTATCTTCCAATATGTGTTTCTAGCAGTTTTTTCACTGCTAGATATGTTAGAGAAAAGAAGTTAATAATTAAAGAAAAATACATCAGGTAACAAGAAAAAAATAACTTGGCCTTTGAAAACAGTAAGTCAGTTTTCACTGAATATAATTAGTGTATATGAGGAGAAAACTAAGTTGTTAGTAAAGTATTAATACTGAGCCAAAGCTGCTTTGTTTATAAGTAGATAACCCAATATTCTTGATGTGGTTTCAGAAATGGAAGAAAAATCAGAAGCTGGACAACTTATCCTTGCTAGTTTTTAAAAAGTTGTTTTTAAATACCAGAGATAAGCAGAAGCAGTGCACTTATTTGACTTCACCGATTAAAGATCTTGTGTTTATGCCTGCTAACGCTGAAAATAAGACAACTGTTGTTGTCCCAAAAGTCTACTTTTCTAATATTGCTCAAATTGGTCTATCTTCTCTATGTAATTTTTTTCCCCCCCATTTGTTTAATTTCAAATTTGGCTCAAATACCTGACAAAAGGAATAAAATTCTGTCAGATATGTTCTTAACAATTAACTATTAAAACATCTGTGATAGTGGTCTGTTTTTCTCAAAATTATTATTAGCTATATACTTTATATGAACCTGGTACTAAGTCTGTTACTGTTTAGGTTGTAAGAAACACTTCGCACGTCGGCAAAGTGTCTTCTGTGTCAAGCAATCCACTGGTATGTTTTGCACTGTAAATAATTACTTTGGTTTTGTGAACCTCCTGTGTAATGCTAGTGTCAAGGAAATGTCAAAGGTTTGACTCTGCATGGCTGATTTATTTTAAATTCAGCACTTCTGTTAATGTATGTGGGTCTGTTGTGTTACAAGGTAACACCAGGTAGTGGAAGTGACTCCTAATAGTCTCAGGACTTAATATTTCAACACTTCAGGGACACATGGTCCATGTTTGCGTGTTCTGTATGTCTGCATGTCTTGGAGCATATACTTTGTTCTTCTGTCAAGACAGACAAAAGGAGCTAGGACCAAACTATATTTTAAACATAATGGGTGCTAAGAAGCAAGCTATCTTCTCAGAAGAACCAACATGTACACTGATACTGATTCAGGATGGCCAGAAGTCAAGTTTCCCCATTCTGAGGCACTCTATAGAGAAGTCTGTCTCTAAATTGTGCAACTCCGTGAGAAATCATCTAGTTCCAGCTAGATGGAACTAGAAAACTTGCAGCTTTAAGAAGTTGATATCTGTGAACCTGTTGATTCTTCTGAGATCAGAAAGCTTAATGATACAATATATTTTGGAGAGTGGAACAACATTAGTTGGAGGATATCTACAGGGTCTTCCAAAGATGTGGTTCCAAAATTTTTGTTCTTGAATTATTTAAAAAACAAACAAAAAAACCTACCCCAAAAATTCCCCTATTAAAAAAAAAAAAACAAACAAAAAAAAAAGAAGTATCTTAACCAATTTGCTGGAAGCAATTCAAATATTTTCAGAGGATACAGCTTGTACTATATGAATGATATCTGGAATACATCTCGTTTCCTATGAGAAACATTGACAAGAGTGTGCTGGGAGTTGCTGGGGTTAAGTCAAACTAAACCCCCAGGGCTGTTTTGAACTCTTTTCTTGAATAAAACTATGCTTGATGTCAGTGGGAGTTTAGACTGAGTAAGAAGTGTACAATTGGGTTAGTACATGCTGGATGATTAAGACTCAGATTAAGTCTTTGGGTATCTCTGTACTTTGTAGAGTCAAGAGTAGGTAATTAGGGTGACTAACCTTTGCTCTTAAGAAAAGTTATATTGAAATTCTTTATGGGAAGCTGATGGCTGCAGTCCTGGTGACTTTCATCTTAAAGATTTCTTTAGCCATGGATGAATCAAAAATCTAATTTCAGGTTCACTATGTTCTTACATTCAACTTTAGCTTTTTTCCCCCATAGTTTCTTATTCAGTTCATTGCCTTTATGGTATAAATGCCAAAAGCAGGGATGAGATTTTTCCATGATCTTGCTGGTGAAGTCAGAGTTTAGGGGAAAAAGGTGCCATTTGAACACAAAAGAAATTATGTTTTGGTTTTTTGACTTTGTAAATCTTGGCTAAAAATAATTCTCTAAGCCTTTTGTTGTATTGCTGTCATTAAGTGCGTTACCATAAACTATATGAATTGAGGCGTCTTGGTGAAATGATGGATTTGCACAAATTAGATTGTGAATTGTAATTTTCTAAATTAACCCCATAGCAACTTGCTCCAAGTCCACCTACCCAACGACATCCAGGGGTACCAATAGTCTCTAAACCAGTCATGCTGCATCCTGACCCAAACTTTATGGTCAGGCCAACAATCAAATCAGAGGCCCTGGTAAGCCTTTTCATATTCTTTTTCTGAGTGGTACAGTACTGTGGTTTTTGTTGTTGACTTGTACTCAAAGAATCAACGCTTGTCTTGTTTTCTGCTAACTAAAATTTGTGTAGATTTTCAAGTGATCACTAATGGTAAGTACAAAAGGGTATTTTTCCATTTTTCTTCCATGATCTAAAAGTCCCTTTTAGTGACAGTTTTTGTATTGGGGTCCATAGTTCCAGAGCAGTGTAGAGCCTTAGACTCTGTAGATCTTATTTTTCCTTTTTTTCACATGCTGATTTTTATTTTTATAAATTCTTAATTCATTTGTCAGAAATGGAATAGTAAAAACTAATTACACTGGATTTACTTTGTAAATAGTCATTAACATACTTGAAATGTCAATAATACATACCTCATAGTTTCATTTCCAGAGGAAAAAAGTGTGTTGCTATATCTTAGACTCCAATACATTGGTCATGCAGTGTAACTGCAAAGTTAACTCACAATCAGATTATTTTTCTTATTTCTTTTCTATTTCTCTTTCAAATGTAAATGAAGGAAAAACTCTTAGGCTAAATATTTTAGGACCAGCCATGTAGCATCGTTGGGAATTGTGATATATGAGGGAAGGTGAGACAAAACTTATTAGAAAAAAAAAGATAATTTTTTTTTCATAACTTAATGAAAAAAAAAAAGAGAATCACACAGGTGATAACTCCCAAGTGACAACCCTGAAAATTCATCTAAAATAGCTAGTGGACTAGCAATTTCTAGTATTTATTCATGAGGATCATCATGACTTATGCTGTTAGAATTAAGAGTTGTGTGTGTGGACATGTGTGCCTATGTACATTTATATGAGCAAGGCACATAAATGTTGTGTATGGCAACGTGAGCTTTCTAGGTGTTGGAAAAAACATCATATTTCCATTTCATTTAATTACAAGCTTATGCTACATCTCACAATAAGTATGTGCAGTATTCTTAGCTGTCGTTCATTAAAAAGTGCAATGGATTTTTTCTAATTTTCTGCTTTAGTAATTTAGATACTCTTGTTCCTTTGTTTTCCCAGTTACAATTCACATTTAAGTGATATTTAGTAATCAACTTTCCCACAGGCATAGTTGTCTTGAAACTTCTATATTAAAAATGGATTGAAATGATAAATGAAAGCAATTTTAATAAATTGCTCAAGAGAAGGCAGGTACACAAGCTAAAAATAAATCCACATCCATCTGTGGAGATATTTCCTTCAGTTGTATGCATTGGAGCTTTCATTTTGATTGTGTTCAGTAATTCAGCCTCTCTAAGCAATATGAAATTCCTTAGGGGAGGAATGAACAGAGTAAATAAAAAAACTGCAGTTAATATAATCTAGCTCTTTAACATAAATACCTGGTGTACAAATATAAAGTAGTTTGCAGAATTGATAATGCCTTTATGTGTGATCAGACGGTCTTGGTACAAATTGAAAATGTTGCTTATTTTGGGGTTCTTTTTTGGTTACTGACTACTTACAATTAGTTTCAGAAACTGGCAATGATATCCACCACCTCCATGGGGAAATTTCTTATGATTTATTATGAATGCATGCACATTTTCCAAATCACAAGTCTGCTAAAATGTTTCAGATGTTAGCTTCCATTTATGACTTAATGCAGTAAAGAGTATTCATCCTTGCTGCAATGAAGTCACAGTACTATGAGGAGTAAGACTTGCATGGGTACCAACGTAAAGAGGGAGTCTACTTCTATTAGTTAAACAATGAAAAGGCCAGTGGATGACAAAACAAAGAGGTACCTACCTGTCTCCAGAAGTAGAAGATTTATAATTTGATTTCATGCAGAAGTAATGTTTGTTTGTGGGGATGAGGGAAGGTGTCCTTATTTAAGTCAGTGATCAGATACAGGACCAGTTCAGATTCTCTTAGTGAAGGGAGGTATCAACAAAGGCAAAGGATCTTCTGCTCTTCTCTGGCTAGATTTCACACACCTTGTGGAACTCCAGTGTTTATGTCTTAATATGACTTAATGCACATAATTTCTTCTACATTGTTTTCATCTGAATTTAGCTGTCCTGAGTACCAAACTCTAGAAACTTATCCTGGTGGATTCATTTGATCCAAACAGCTAATCAAGTGAACCTGTTATACTCGAGAAAGATTAAAATAAACATGCAAGAATAGATAAGATAACATTCTTGTTATCTGCCAGGTAGTTGAACCAGATAGGAACAGTGAAGTCTCTGTTGTGACTTAAATTTTTGTTAACTGAATTCAGGTCAGAATTCCCAAGTCAATTGAGAATTCATAAAAATAAAATTGTTCTCACTTATAAAGGGAAACGATGGGTGAGGATTAAACATTGAGTGTGGCCTTGAATACCAAGGGCTGCTCTGGGTCAAAATCAGTGTGAGCTGTTTGTCTCTGCTGTTCTAGAGTGAATGAGAATACATTCATGGCAAAGCTAATTGAATTCTGGTTTAGAGAACAGGAGAGGATTGTTATGACTTAGTGGTGGGGTTTCAGAGAAGCAAAACCAACGTGAACATTAGTCTCCGCTCTCCCAGCTATCACAAACATCCTGTTGTGTGAGTTAGAAGGCTTTGATGCACTTGCTGCTGCTAAAGGTTTTTCCTCCCTCACTCCTTTGTGGTTGGATGCAGCATTTTTTTTTAGTTCATTTTATTTTTGAAAATTTTCGGAACATAATAAGAGGTTCTGTATTTTAAGTGATTCCAAACTACAGTGCACCATTTTGTTAATGCACCGGAAGTGAAAGAAAAACAGAATCAATATGGGATTAAAATAATTGAAGCCATACACAATAAAATAACAGCAGCTGTTAATCAATATTGTTAAATTATTTGCAGATATTGAAGCAAGACCACTCAGAAATAAGTGAATTAAATTTGGGAGGAATTCTTTTTTAAGTAGAAAGAACCTGTACTAGTAATTTGTATTTAAGTAATTCTTTCAGGATGAGAGCAAATACACATATCTTCTTTCGGCTTGTCAGATTCACAAGTAATTTAGTAATGGAATTCACCTTTCAGTATAGGAAATCTATGTTAGTAGAGCAAATCTTAAATGTATAACATCTATTTATCATGACTTTGCAGTATTTTGTAAATTAATTGTCTAGTACTTTGTCCGTGGGTTTTTTTTTCAATTCTTTTTTCAAAAATCATGGAGAAGAGACCCCAGCACTGTTCTTTAGGAATTTGGGATAAAAGGAGTGATGGAAAATAGTTTTTATAAATCTTGTGGTATGGAAATGTGTATTATTTACGTAGCTTCTCTAGCATTCTATCCTCTTTGTATTCAGTACTATTTCACTGTGTGTGTTCTCTCATTTTGAAATGGAATAGGAAACAAGCACTAAGTGTGTCATTCAGGCCCTAGAAGAGGATAAAAGCAGTGAGATTATTTCTGAGTAGGTGGTACTTATTTACAGCAAAACGTTAATATCTGGTTTGGCAATTTTTTTTTCTTTTGCAGCCACAAGAGATGTTTAAAAGGATGGTGGTTTACAATTCATCATTTAGATCTAACAAAAAACAAGTAAAACAACATTTTCCATGTTTTGTGTGGTACTTCTTTTTTTGACTGATCATAGATTTAAAACCTTCCTTTCTAATCCTGTTGCTCACTTTCTAAAATGGAGGATGCAAGACAGCCCTAGTGCATGAACACTGCTAGTCTTTGTAAACTTCCAGTGTGTACCTGTGGCTCCTGCTAGTCTAGACAGGTAAAGAAGGAGAGGATAGTAAATCCTTCCACTTGAACCATCTGTAACTACTTATATGGTTAGTGCAATCTTTAAAGTAGTTGAACACTGAGAACTGATCTGATACTGGCAATTTTTTTTTAATATCCCTAAGGTGTCTTTTAGTCTTCGTTATAATGCTTTCGGTACTAAAGTATTTTCTCAGCTTAATAAATAGAGCTACTATCATAACATAGTTATTGGTGGGATATCTGAGGAACTGGTGGTGAAAAGCACTCGTATTGCCTTTCTATATTGTGTAGGATTTTTCTGCTGTTTTACTACTCTTATTGCCTTCCTCTGTCATAGTGATGAAGCTTTCATCTCTTGCTCTTTAGTTGACCAGTGGTTCAATAAATGGTCCCTTGAAGAAGTGAGCTTTGTGCTTAACTTCTCTGCTGCAGTTAAATGTGCCAGTTCCTGTGCAGAACACCTTTGAAGTTAGATGCATTGCAACGTTATATGAAAATGTTGATGCGCATTTGTGAGCTCACAATGTGAGCTTTTGGGTGGTAAACCATTAAAATTAATAGTGATTTTTTTTCTTCTTTTGATCAGTTTCAGTCTAGATCTAGAGGAGAACACTGGATTTGACAGATAAATCAAACTCTGAGATTGTTCAGAATGTGAATATGTACTGTGTATATATAAACAGTTGTGTTCTCAGCAAGTGTGGTTTTTGGAAAATTTTGTTATATCTGGTCAGGGGTTTCTCTTTCAGTTCTTTTTTGTTTATTTCATTCATATCTTAATTGCTCTTGACTAATGATGCTACAAACTTTAGTGAGCAGTGCCAATGGCTTAGGTGCTCGTGTTTTGATTTTGGGGGTTGTTTTTGGTTTTTTGTTTTGGTTTTTTTTACAGAGTAACTTTCCCTTCCATCTAGAAATCCAGACTGATAGTTGCTTCAGTGCTGTAAAACTTTGTAACTCTAGCTGCTTGTGTTCAGTCCTGTGAATGTTATTTTAAGTCAAGAAAGGATTCAGATGGTCTTGACTCTTTTGCCTGAGATGTCCTGAGTAGTGGGTAGGCTTAGCACTGTGGTTTCCACTCAGTGTCGCTTGGTTCATTAGTCTCTGCTTGAGTATGGAGTGTGCTCGCTGTTCTCCAAGTTTGTCGTGCCCATTTCTGGGAAGATTTATTACAGTTCAGTGGATCATTTCATTGTATCATAGCTTTATTTGTACCTTATTGGATCCAGATCATATAACTTATTTTCTTGCAGGTTTTTTATTGTATGGTTTAGGTTTGGGGATTTTTCCTGTTTAAAAATTATTTTCCCAGGAAAACTTTCTTCAAGGGCAACATCTGTTTTTCATGAGGGCGACCTGGGACAAAGAGTTCAATGACTTCCTTGAGGTTATGTAATGAATTAGTGACTTGTATGAGTTAGGAGTTCTTTCCTCTAAGTTGCTTACTCCAAGACCATAGATGTCTACTTCAACCATGATTCCAAAGGTCAATACAAATTCAGCAATTCAAGCTATTAGTTGTTTAGGTAGCTCTCATTATACAATGCTTCTCTTACAGTTTTAGTCAAGCTATTCATAATATTAGTACACTCTGTAAATGAATGAATGATTGGGGCTTTTTTTCCCCCAGGATCAAATTCTACCCTCGCTGAAGTCTGATCAAATTCCCATTTGTTTAGCTCCTCAAAGGTAGCAGTTAAGACATGTAATGCATCCCATACAAACTTAAATGTTAAATAAGGTCTCTCATGTTCCTATTCCCAAAAGATCCTTTTAATACATATTTCCCTATGAACAAAAAAAAAAAAAACAACAAAAAACAACACTTGTGGCAGTAAGCAAAAGTTCTGCAGTTGTGCCCTGAAGATAGAGCTCTCTGAAGCCTGGGGAGACAGTCGTGCTTCAGCCCTTGCAAATGTTACTTCTCTGTCAGAAGAAACACAGAACAAGGACATGATTTGCCAAAGTTGGTCTGATCTCAGGGAAAAGATGAAGAGGGAGGTAGAGTTCATGCTGGACGATTCAGTATGCCTGTGTATAATGACTGCCAGTCCATGCAAGAGTCCTCAGCACCACTGTTGCATGGTTTGCAGAAGTGTGGTTAGATAAACGGGCAGCACTATTGTACATTTGAGGGCCTGATAATGCAGAGCTGTGTTGTAGCACTCACTAACTTTGTCAGAGGCATTGGTGGTAGGGATGAGATCCGACCTCAGAGGATCATTCATAGTCATGTCAAAATTAGGTAACTGGGAGAGATAACAATGATAACAGGAGGAGCTGTTAGTGTTTTCTGCTGCAACTTTGTCATTTTACAGACAGCCTTTACAGATACTACAGGAATCTTAAGCTATGCATTTGATTTACAATTTGCATTCGATTTTACAAAGTGGAAAAAGGCTTAGCTGAGTCTGAGAGTGGAATAGACTTTGTCATCAGATGGGTCCAGTAGAAAAGAGGGCAGTAATGAATATATCAAACTTGATCATGCACTGAACCACTGGTCTGCGTCAGGTATTGGCTTGCCTGCTGTGTCAGCTAAGGGTTGTGTGGTTCTGCATTGTTCCTGTATCCCCAGGTTATTGCAGCTTGAAGCCACAAGATTGATACAGCATTTAGGTGCCTCAGTAAAGTTTTCTTTTTAAGTAAGTCCTGAAGTCTTGCCTTTAACGTGAAGGATAAGTGCATAGTTTTTATAAATCTCCAGCATTGTCCATACAGTTTCACCTGGTAACTACTAATCCTGCTCAAGAAACCACCACCCAAACACTATTGATTCCTGATTACTGACTCAGGAACTCCCATCTTTGCAGAAAAGGTAACTCCCACTTTTTCCCTGCAGGGTTGGTCTGACAAGGGTAATGCACTAGACTTGGGAAGTTTCAGGTGTGAGTCCTCTCAAAGCTTAGATCTTGCTCTACCTAACTGCAGTATTATCTTCCTTATTTCAAACATTCCCTGCCAAAACTTTTAAGTCCTCCACAGAACCATACGAAAACAAAATTGGTTGTTGTCCTGCACTCACTTGTGGTGTGGAGCAAACTCCATGGAAAGGAGGAGAAAAGGAGGCTGGAAGAGGGTCCTACAACTCAGGCACCATGGAGTAGTGTTGCTGACAGGTGAACTGGAGCCTGCCACTTTCTGCCTGTGTTAGATAGTGCCCAACATAGTGATAGTCCCAAGCAACATTGCTTAGAAGACTGGCAGAGCATACCTGCTTGTGATGCTTTCAAGATTTGTTTCTGTTCTGTCAGAATGTAGAGAGGAACTGTGGAGCTGACAGTGGTAAACTGTTCCTCAAAACTGTTCCATAGTATGACCAGCTCAAACTGCTGATCTGTCATCAGGTTTTGAAATGTCTTCTGACTGTCAGGATGGACTATTTGCTGCCTTTCTGTGCTTTTCTCCATTTACTGTCTTCTTTCATAGCTTTCAGAATTACATGTTCTCTCACTAATAAATAAAATGGAGTTCGTGAGTTTGTGTGTTAAGAGTGTGCATGAGCTTGATGTTTTTACAGTTAAATAATGTTTTATTCTCAGGGCTTCCAGAAATACTTGGAAGATTTTGATCCATATTCAATGGTAAGGAGAGAATTCAAATATGTCTCACTGTTTAATATTAAATACTAGAAAAATAATTAAATACTAGAAAAAACACATCCTTGATTTTGAGGGCTGGGAGGGGGTAAGATCCTTGCTTGTTGGTTTGCTGGGGCTTGTGTAGTTGTCTTTTCTAGTTACATTGAAAAAGAGCTTTCTTAGAGGAAGATATGATCTGGTGTTCTGATCTTCCTCTTAACATTATTTTGGAGGAGGGAAAGGTTCCTTTTCTCCCATAAACTACATAGATCAACCCAATTGTTTTGTGTTTCCAAGGTGAAAATGACTAATCATTATATCTTTTCATAGTTTACCCCAGAGCAGATTATGGGAAAAGATGTACGGCTATTACGAATTAAAAAGGTAAATACTGTATTTGATTGATACTTAAAAGGGTTCATGTACATGTTCCATGTTTATTCCCATTTACTGGGAAGAAGGAAAGATTAAGCTCCCGTTGATGGCAAAAATAACAGTCTTTTCTCAACTAAAACTCCTTTTTGATAGGAAGGATCATTAGACCTTGCAGTTGAGGGAGGAATTGATTCTCCAATTGGGAAGATAGTCGTGTCTGCCATCTACGAGGGTGGTGCTGCAGACAAACATGGTGAGTAACAACTGGGAATTTGAATGCTGCTGCAAAGTGGCTCCTTAACACTGGCTGAGAGGTGTTGTCTGATTTCATAGCTATACCTAGTAATGAGAGGCATACTTAGATTGTCCAAGGCAGCCAAGTTCTGTTTCAGCTCTAAATGCTGAAATTTATTTATAAATAGTGTTTAAGAAGAAACGATCACTACTGCTATATTTTGATCATTACAAAATTTTCAATAACGTGTCCTGAAAATATAGAGCTCATAAGGACTTTCATTTTTCCAGTGTGATTAAAAACAAAAAAACCCCAAAACCCCACCAAAAAAAAAAAACCCAACTAACACCTGATTCTCTGGTGTATTCTGTTAATTAAGGAAAGCAGAATATGATCTCCATTATTTCACAATGTCCAGGCAGTTACATTTGTGGTGCTTCCATGTGCAAAGCAATTACCTGACCATGGTTATGCTACACCGCTTAGCTTTGTTCTTAAAGCTACTTTCAATACTAATTTGTTTTGTAAAACACCTGGCTTTACTCCCCAAATCCCACTAAAGGCCAGAGCCTTCTGGCTAACAGCATAGCTCTCTGGAAGGCACAAGAACATGCATACCAACACATCTGGGCTTTGCTCCCAGTGGCCAGTATCTCTCATCCTTTCCATGAAAACTCTGGTAATTACCAGGTAGGCAGACAGGACAGCATCTCCTTATGTTGTTTTTGCTGACCTTATCCGAACCTATACCTAAGCTCAAGCCACTCTTGCTGAGAAAACAGCTCAGCCACTTGATCTCTTAAGTACTGTGTTTCTCTTTGACTCTTCGCTGTTGTGAGGGTCTCTTATAGCTAAGGCTGTCTCCTTGCCATCTTTGTTTTTTCCTCTTCAAACTGAGTCCCAGTTAGCTGGTTGTGCTTCTTTTCAGAGTAGCAAGTCAAAATCAGTTCTAAGGACTAAACATTACAAATGCTCTTGCAAAGGAGCAAACACTTGCTGCAAACACTTGACAAATGCCACTTATACCTTCAGGTCTTTAAGTAATGCTGCCATTTTCATAGTAGTACAATCAACTACAGTTCGTAAGCTGTGTAGATGGATTACCTGGACAAGCAAACTGCTACTATGGAAAATCTTATTGAACTAGTTTCTTACTGGTCCTGATCAAGAGAGATTAGTGTAGTTTTTCCATGCCTGAAAGTTCCTTTTGCTTTTTCCTGTAGCAAACTTCCTTCTCTGTCAATTTTTAGTGTAAGCCTTCACATCTAGCGAAGACACTTTTCATTCTTGGTACTGCATAAATATGGAACAGAAATGACTAAGAATTTTTTTTGCTTATGTGTATGTATACCTTATTGGTCTTTTCACCAGGAGGCATAGTGAAAGGGGATGAAATACTAGCTGTAAATGGCAAGATATTAATTGACAGCAGGCTGGCAGAAGCACAGGCAACTCTAGCGAAAGCTTGGAACATGGGTGGGGTAAGTAACCTGGAATACTTCTTCATTCTCCTGGCAATGCTCGTATAAGGTATACTTTTCTTTCATGTCATCACATCAACGCAAATAAAGTTGCAAACATCACTGCATGTAGGTCATGTAGCACCAAAGTGAGCTGAAATCTGCAGAAGATAATGGTATATAGCATCTCTGAAAATAATTTTTTATTGTGAAAGTTCATGGCATTTAGCCACCTGTCAAGATTGGTATTTAAACAGATTACATTCTGAGTGTTTATAGTACATTTAGCTGTAGAATCTCTCTTTGATATTGAAAATGACGTGCAAGCTGATTGGAATTTTATGGTAATAGCATATATTATCTTTGATTTCTTAATGTGGAAGTAGCTCTGCACTTCAACTACAGTGAGTGTTTTCTCAGCAAGAACTCTTATTAATTGCTAAGATGACCAGATACAGGAAGATTCTTAAAATAATTATTTTTAAAAGCTTTTTGCAAGACCAGTAGATTTTTCTTTAATTTCAGGATACAAATCTAACAGCTCAATCTTTTGAAATGGTCTTCCTATAGAAGTCTGTAATAGACATCTTTTTTTGTGCTGCTCCCTGTGGTTTTCCAGGAATAGATTGCTTTCATGATTCTCTATCTGATATTCCATGGTGTCCACTAACCATCTCTAAAAGCAGTATTTAGCAGCATGTGTTTGCCTGTCCACTTCTTTTTCAGGATTGGATTGACTTAGTCATTGCAGCATCACCCCCAAAGCAATACGATGATGAAATGTAAGTGCATAAGTTTTCTTTTCTCTGGGGATCAAAAAGCTAGTGATAATAGTTGATACAGTTTGCTTTTTTTATCAGACATATTTCAAGTATTTTCTTCTTGTGGACTACATAGCCTTCTGCATCACATGGTTGCTAATTTGACAGTTATAAGTAGCTATTATGCATTACAGCAGTGGTTCCCAGACTTTTCAAAACTGTGATTCTCAGAATTGGTCGTATGTGACTGCACAGTCATACTTTTGGTTTAAAGTTTGAGGATTTTTTTTGTGTTCTGTTTTTTGGTTTGGTTTTGTTGTTGCTGTTTTTTCTTTCTTAGAAATGACTTACTTCAGTCTGGGTCATTTACTATGAGACCGTAGTAAATTTGGGGAAACAAATTCCCATTAGCATTCTTTATCACAACCAGAGATTTTAATTCTGTTTTGTGGTATGTTTTATTGTTTGTTTGGGTTTTTTTCTAATTACATTGCAGTTACTATCCTTGTCTAAGCCAACCTAAGTGTAAAGTTTCCAAAAGAGCTAAGTGATTTGGGTGTCTTGGCAATTTGTGATGTTCACAGAGTCCTTCTTTTTTAAATAATCAGTGTAGGTGTGAAACAGAAGAATCCATGGTTTAAAGTGTGATAGAGGTGTCAAGTCGACACAACTTGCTTTACTTTGGACAGTTTCCAAAGCAAGACCAATGTTTTCTAGCTTGACTGAAGGAAAAGATTTGAAAATATCCTTAGATATCCTTACTACCAAGTAAAAAGTAGAGGAAAATTTTGTAGTCACTGTTAACCCGGGTTCTTTTTCTATGCAGAATACTGGAGCATTAGGTGCTGTAAATCAGTATAGTTTTACTGGCTAATGCCACCTGAAGATTGCTGTAAAATTGTGTTTAATACCTGTGCATAAACTAACAAGCAAGGAAATAACTGTCACTGTTATTTTTGTTTTCATATCCTGTATATTCAGCCCTACTATTCCCTCATCAACAATCAGTCCCAACACTCAGAGAAAGGTTTTTGAAGGCAGTGCACCCGTGTACAGACAAGGGTATCTCCTGCAGCTGTAGCCACTGCAGTGTTCCCTCATGGTGAATAGCCACACCTGGGTTAACATGACTGTCCATTGTGAGGCTGCTTTATTTTTTCAGCATGTGCCTGCCTGTGCCTTGCATGCCACGCTTGCTTTTGTTCCTGGCATGCTGAAGTGTTCTTTGGGCTTTTGCCATGCGTGCCCTATGAAAACATAAGTATTTAGTTTCTACTTCATAATGTCCCTTAAATGTCCTCTGCAGAATTGGTTTATCATCTGCCAGACTATAAAATAAATAGGTCCTGCCTAAACAAGTAGAATTAATCTAACTTTTTTCCTTATCTGTGGACCACTGCTGTGGATTTGTGAATTCATAAGTATACAAGTAACTACAAATTACTTCCTTGTTAAAGCTTGTCCAAAGAACAAATTTCCATTTGTATTATATGACAGTGTGTTGGTAAACAAGTATTCATGACTGGTTTTTACTAAAGTTTGTGTTAATTTGTCACTATACCATGGGTTTGTCCCAAAATGGTTTGTCTCCTTGTGTGACAAGCTCAGTTTACTGTCTAAGGATTCTCTATGCTGTAATTACTGTAAGTACAGCCATAGATCTCTAGAAAAACCAATAAGATTTCATGTTGCATGGGTATTTGTGGTCTTCTCAATTCTTACAATACAAAACAAAATTACTCAACTGAGATCCAGCTATATAAAATTGTGATTACCAGAAAGACTAAAAGTTGCACTACAGGTAAGGGCATCTCTTTCACTACTCCTTTTCTTTTTTTTCTGCAGGACATTTTTTTAAAGAAGGCTACACTGGAGAAATTAAGTCTTTCCCCTGCAGAAACCTCCTGCTCTGTAAATTAATAGGAAATAAATAACCACATAAAATGCATCTGGATTTTAAAGAAATGTGAGCAATCAGACCTATAAATTGAACTAGAGACTTCAGATTCTTCAGGTAATTTGAATAATTTCAATCATTCTGTAGACATACAGCTAGGAATTTTTGCAAGATTATTGAGAAGGACTGCCATTGAGCATAGTTTGGTCTGTGAGAACTCAATCTATTTTTTGCTATTTTGAGTGGCCAAAATCTTGCAAATTATCTTCCAGTTTTCCTAGAAATAGATACCAAAATGATGAACAAAGATAGAACGCAGATGTCTAGGCCAGTTTGGGTGTGAAAAGGATTATATTTTTACTCCATACATAGTGATTTTTTCCTGGGGAAATGGGAATGTATATAGGTAACTTCTGTTCTCACTCATATTCTTGTAGCTCTTTTAATATCCATTTCTGTTGGCACAGTTGTGAGTTGTTCTGGGTATAAAGACCTTGCTGGTGGAAGAACTGGTAATATTAGGAGTACTAGCCTTATAAAGAATAATTTTGGTGATGCTTATACAGTGTAAAGCATCTTTTCTACCAGCAGAGTAAATAACTAACAAGTAGTCCAGGTAAAATCAGTATGTGTAGTCACATTTATACTACTGAGTACTTGTATTGGTGTCAAAAATTACTCCCATCATGGTGGAAAATTTGGGTGTGATTCACAGTCTGTAGTTATGTGCTTTGTTCTCAGTGATGCTATATATGTGACCGAACTGTGCAGGAAGTCATGTAACATTTTGCTCTTGGTGACTGTCTTCTGTTTAAGTAAATTCCTCAAGACCATAAAATCTATACCAACCTGGCTTTAAATAAGTATGATTACAGTTGTAGACTTTGTAATTTCTTTATATTGTCAAGATATCTCCTTAGAAATGTCATTGTCTTCCTTCCTTCCTCGTATCTGCCAGTTTGTATTCTGTTTTTCATGTTGTGCTTAGATTTTTCTTGCCTGGACTAATGAGAGCCAGTTTACAGTTCTTTGGCATCAAAATCCCACTGAAGTCTTGCCTTTTCAACGTGTGGAAACTGTCCTTTATGTAAGACAGGAAAAAAACAATTATGTTCCTGAGAGCTCTGTATTTATACAGAGATGATCAATTATGTTGACTTTCTTAATTTGCAGTATTGTTCCAGTATGCCAATTAATGTGTCTGGCAGGGTACACGTGTTAGAATGTTTAAAATTTTAACTCTTACAACTAATCCTGAAATAAAATTGTGTTTGCCAAACAGAAGAAGTTGTTTCCTCTTTGTGTCTGGGTTTGTTCATCATAGTAATAGTTAATCTGCTGAAGTACACAGATTCAACAGACCCATTTGCAACTGAATGCCACCCTTTTGGAATTCAAAAGAAAATTCACTCAGTAGGGAATTGTCACTTGGCTAAGCTGCAATAATCTTTTACTGATTTTATATGGGCAAATCTGGGCATTTGATAGTTGGCAAGCTACTGAGTGCAGCTGCTCAGACTTAATGTGCTTGCTAGGTCTTTGGGTGGACCAGCCCAGAGCTGTAGACTTCCTAACCAACAGACTAGTCTAAATGTATAAAGATTAGCACTAGAGGGAAAATTGCAGCAGGACGTACTCCTCCTGCTGCTCTGGTTCCTGGTTGCCTACATACTGCAACCATCTGGGCTGTATGACAGTGCAGATAGATGAGCGATGCTATCAAATGTTCCCTTAAGGGATGCTCTGGTGCTAGGTACCAGCAAATAGAGAGCCACAGTAATTCACCAGTAATGAACTTCAGTCTGCAATCAGTGCTTGATTGTGCTAATCTCTGTCTCAGCACAGTAAGAAATATAACACAGAAAACTTAAGTGTTAGGTATCAGATATGTTTTTACTGGTGGTATTTTGTCAGAGACAAAAGGAGCACAGAAGACTGAGCTGGGAAATCTGTGGGAGTACCAACAGTTGAGTTGTAGCCTTGCTTCTTAGTCACAAAATTATCTTTCTTCTCCCCATGTACCCTGGTAATTTGATTTGCTTGAATACAGCTTAAAATGCATGAGAGGCAGTTGAGGAAATAGTTACTACTCCTTCTTGTATACAAGAAAGTGTTACTTTGTGTGTTTAACCTGTGTTAGGAGGGCAGAATTGCTTTAGGCAGTGTAAGGAGGTGGTGTTAGAAAAAAGGAGGCCGACACTTCTGAAATCTTACAAATGATCTTAAGCCATTGGTCAGGTAGTTTTTACTTTATTTCTGGCTTTCAGCGCCCTGGGACTAGATCACATCTTTCATTTGCCAGCTAGCTCAAGTAACTGGAGAAAGCTGCAAGAAAATACAGTTTTCAAACAGCTTGCCTTTTCAGTTAGTTTAGTGTGTGCGAGTAGAGTGTCCCAGATGTAAATAATTTAAACAAGCTCCCATTTGAGCTGCTACTGTGTTGTTTTCTGGTGGCTGTAATAGTCACTGTTTGTGCCCATGGCTCCCCCTGTTCAATCAAGCCAGCTGTGAAAAGATAACAGTAGGGCAAATGAGACTTTCTCTTTTTTTTTTTTTTTTCAGCCAGTGCATAGTTTCCTTTGGGAGTATGGAAACTCTGATCTGATGCACAAAGCAGGAAGAAGCCCAAGTACTTCACTGACACTATCATGAATGCTTCAGACTGCTTTTAACATGAGATGGTTTTTTGTTTTTCATTTGCTGTAATCTCAGAGGGAATATGTCTAGTTTCTCAGAGCTGTTTGTTTGGTTAAGACCACTAAAACCCACTATCTCTCTCTATGGGATAATAACCCAGAGGAAGAGTTTCTCAGAACTCTTAACAATCATTCTTATTCTCTCAGGAATTTCTTGGCTGTCCTAGTCACAGCGTTGTCTTCGGCATACCCTCACAGTTGCTGAACTGGAGCATGAATTACATTAGAGACTTTCACATTGTGAAATTGTGACTTTCACATCTGCTCTGTGAGCCTGTGCGTGCCTGCGTGCAGGCAGAAAAATGTAAAGCCTTAAGGATTGGAACCATGACATTCATTACAGGATAGGAAATACTGTTGTTTATTACTCATATGGTTATTAGCATTGGGAAATATTTGATCTATTTATCACTGCTACTCTACCATTTTAAGAACTCATAATTTAGCCATTATGATAGTGTTATCTTTTAAAATTTGTAAGTACATTTCAAAGAAATTCTGATTTTATTTTTTTAAAATGCTCTATTCATAAACAGATTTATATATATAAAGGGGGGGTATATATGTGTACACACCAATAAGATTTTTTTAAATCAATTTAATTTGAGTAGTATGAATGTTCAAACAATCTCAGCACTTCACAGTATATGAAAGTCAAGCTCTGAATGTAAATAAGTTGTTATAAACCCTATTGCCTTAACAGGACTGAAAAACATTACTTCATATCAAAGGGTGTTAAGGAGCTTGCTATGCAGTAGCTGATACATGTTTTCTATATGTTGACTTTGATAAAGCAGGGTCAGACTCAGAGTAGCTGCTGTGGAATTCTCAGCCACCTTTCATTAAAGAGATGTCCACCTGGGACCTGTGCTGATGTGAACAAACTGTCACCTTTACACCATTTAAGGACCAGATCTAGTTGTACAGAAGCCAGCATCTTACCTGTAAGGAGCTGACCCTTAAGATTATAAATCAGATGAGTCTAATATCCCTTATTATCAATTTATTATAAACTCCTGATACTGAGTTTGTCCTCCAGTGGTTTTCTGCCCATTTTCTCTTTTGCCATTGTTCTTGTTCTTAGGGGTTCGTGTTTGTTTTTTGTTTGCTTGTTTGGGGGTTTTTTTTGTTGGTTGGTTGGCGTTTTTTTCCTTCAGCAATTTCTCGAGCAGATTCCAAAATTTCCTTCCTGCAGACTTGAAATCTGAAGAGGCTCCAGGTGCTCACAAGTCATGCAAATTATTTTTACGGAGAAAGATTTATTTCCTTCTTCCTAAGGAAGGCAGCAAAAAAATTGCCTCTGCTGGAATACTTCTTCCTCTATTACTAGATCTGCATTTGCTGCAGTATTGGAGGAAACAGATAATAATAGTACAGCACTGTGGTGGGACTCAGGGTCTATCTATATTTACAACAATGTAACTTAGGTTATTTTTGATCTTCACTGAAAGCAGCTAAAATGAAAGAGGAAAAGCAATCAGTAAGACT